CACTGTACACACACTACATCCACTACTCAAACACACTCTGCGTTCACTATACACACTGCATCCACTACACAAACACACACACTCTGCATTCACTGCACAAACAATATCTAATACACACAAACACTACATCCATTACACACATTCTAATTCATTTCCACTATACACACCACATTCAGTCCCGCATCATTGTCAGCGGACTAGGTAGGGTGTAGGCAGGCCCGAGGGGGACAGAAGGGGGGCCCAGACCTTGTGCTTTGTCAGGGGCCACAAAATTTCTGATGGCGGCCCTGCTAATCAATATGTTCCAATATGTTCCTTCTTCCCTCTCCTTTTCTTTTTTATCTTCTCTCATCTTCATATTTCATAATTCTCTTTTTGCATGACTACCTCAGACATCAGAAGGCAATAACTGATGAAATCATTTGTGACACACAGTGATAAATAGCTCCAAGGCATTTTCATGACAAAGGCGAAAATAAATAACACATAGCCATGAGAGAGGAAATGGGTGGATGACAGAGCAATATTAGCATTCATTATATACATTAAAAAAAAATATAAAAAATGCACTTTGGAAGTTTCCCTTAAAACTGCCCCATGTAACATGCACAGTTGCTTGTATATGCATTGCCAAGAGTTGTACAGGCCCAGTCTACTCTCTATCAAGTTAATCAACAAAATTGGACTTGGTTGTACTATGGAGAGAGCCTTACTGTGCACCTCTATGATAAATCAGTCCACTGTGATAGGGTTTAGGACCCATATATCACCTTCACCCCATTACCCACCCTTTAACCATGCATTATCTGTTTGTTCCCTTTCTTCTAGCTCATATCCACTATCCCCGTTTCTGTTTTGTTCTTTTACATTGTTATATTTATTACTTCCTACCTACTCTTGTTTAATTTAACTTTGACATATACATGGGGGGGAGGGGCGTAAGACACTAAAGAGGGATATAATACACTAAAGGGGGTGTAACACACACAAGGATAACATATTCAAGTGGGGATATGTAACACTAAAGTGAATAAGAAATTCAAAAGGGGTTATGAGGTACACAGGTGAAGATAAAAATTTTTTGGGGGGATGGGTGGTATAGGGCGACAAAATGCATATTCGCCTGTGTAGCCAAAAATCATTGCAGCGGCCCTGAGGACCTGCCCTTTGCACACCGCCCGGACGCAAGAAGAGCTGTGCGGCTGCACATGGAGCAGCCGCCAGCCGACACAGCATTCAGTATGGTACTGGCTTATGCCGGTGGGCCGTGCGAACAGTCCTGGGGGGCGGGCACTGTATATGTCATGGCATCTCACGAGAATCAAGCTAGGATGCCATGGCAAAAGACAAGGGGAGGGAAGGGGAGGGACTGGGAGACAGGACACTGACATGGCGACAGGAGACTGACTGGGAGAGAGTTTCATATTTGTTCTATATTATATATATATATATATATGTTCTATATTTATTCATTTATTGCATAGGTAACTTATTTTGTTACAACTGTTCTATATTTGTTTATTGCATGTGAGTTTTGAACATGTCTTTGTAAACTGGCACTTTACAATAAATGTTGCACTGTATTTTCTGAGAAATATAAATATATATGAGCGTATACTTTTTTTTTGGGGGGGGGGGGGTGAGTTACCACACTTTTTTCCCCAGGACTTGACCCCTGCATGTAATACAACTAGCAAGGTGATACTATCTTAGTCTTCACGGGTGATAAAGCTAAAGGTGCACCTGAGAACACCTAAAAAGAGAGGAAACCTTTTAGATTCCAATGAATTCATTTTAAAACCTTAAATGAACACTCTAATGTTAAAACAATATTCAATACCAACCTCCCCCTTCCTCGAATTTAAAAAAAAATTAATATTGCTTACATTTTTATCCAGCAGCGAGTCCCCATTTACCGATATTCCACTTTGCCCCAGGGAGGCAGTTAGCAATGACAGTCTCCACTTCCTGTTCTGTGAAAATTGGTGCATGTGCGGTGATATGCGCTTGTAACGGATCACCTGGCACTCCGACTGGGTACCTCCGTTGAAGGATGCTCCTAGCGCTTCCTGAGGGTTTCCAGCACTCCAGCAGACACCATAACCACCGTAGACTCCTTCAGAGAGCAAAAACAGGAACAAGCTCTTACAAGAGCTTAGCAGTGAATATAGCAAGAGAGTATGCAGAGCATAGCAATCCCTTGTAGCAGGTTCCCCCAATAAGAGACGACACTCCAAATTGAGGGTGAAGTAGAACTGACAGAGCTGTGGGTTTATTGTTCTTATATACACATTCTTACACATTAGTACCACGCACAGGGTTTTGTAAAACAACCAATAAACACGTACAATACACTCAGACACTCCCACACAAAATCCCCCCCTCTGCCTGTGATACAATTACCTTATACAAAGGGTTAATAAAATTATCACAGGCAGGAAAATACACAGTTTTACACAATATTCATAACTTTAAAAGTATGCATCACATTCACATTTTCAGAATCAGCATACTCCAAATAACAACATACGTCAAAATCATACAAATTAGTCCAGTGGGTCAAAAGATAGATCGACGTCCTTTGTGACCAAATGAAGCATGGGTTTTCTGCCCAAAACCAGTTCCACAGAGTCTTCTATCCTGGAGATAATTGGGAAGTAATCCAATTATCTCCAAGGACAGAGGCAAAACTCCATTAGCCACATGGTAGCAAAATACAATAAAATACATAAAAATATATAACTGTGCAGCTATTGCATAAAACAGGTACATTCATCCCCAGATAGCTTAGATCTGAGCGCACATTATTACTGAATGGCGCTCAGATCACCTACATACAGTTCAATTTCCATGTAGCCAAAGTCTTTCACATAGTCTTTCGTTATACGAATGGGCTCCATGGCATAGCTATCTGGGGTAACACTGCTCACATAGGGAAAGTACCGAATGACCCGGCTTTTTGGTCTTTGCAGGGGAAAATCAAGCATTTCAACATGGGGCCATAGTCACAGGGCAGGAGGCTGGCAATCAGTCTTCTCCAATGCCCAGTGGTGAGGCTGGTTCAGCCACAGCGCTAATTAAATGTGGTGATTGTGTCAATTACCAACAGAACGCTTCTCATAGGGAAACATTGACAAATGCTTCCCTACAGAAGCACTTCACTTCTGCATGACCAATCGTTCATGGAAAGAGAATCACGAACCCCTTCTGACTGTCGATTTGACTGCCAGGGGGTGTTCCCAAATCAACTCATAAAAGTTTTGGGACACTAGTACTTTACTAGCTCATTATATTGGCCATGAATGACATGGTGGCCAGCAATCTAAGTGTTCTCCAGGGCTGGACTGGTTAACAATAATATTTCCCAGTGAACTGCAGTATCTAGGCTGAGCTTCCAGGACAATGATGAGTATGTCAACAGCAAAAACAAATGTGAGGAAGGCTGACCTTGATGGACGCAAGTCTCTTTTCAGCTATGTAACTATGTAACTATGTAACTGTAACTAGGTATGGTATCCCTGGAGCTGTTTACAATGGAATTGTAGAAAACAGAATCTGTGCCCATTAGGTGTGAACATATCTCTATTAATGTACCTTCTTGCTTCAACAGATACTCATCAATGTTGCAGGATACAACATGCATCTCACACCTCCAGCAATCTTCATCTGTCATTACCAAAAATGTCATGCTCTGTTTGATTATGACTATCTACAGTGAGCTCTGTAAGTTTAATGCACAAAAAAGGTCATTTATTTTTACTTTCAACCATTTGTCAACCATTTTCTGAACTCTTATGTTGTCAAGAAGGTGGTCAGTAATACTGGATACTCCAGTGGCCCGTGACTAATCTACTTAATCACTGGTTGTTGGAGCATTTTAAATGGATATGTATGGTTATGGTACAATATACAGTGTCATTGTATATTGATAAGTGGTACCCCTTAATATACCCTTTAACTGAATTATACCTTCACCAAGGCACTGCAATGCGCATTAGGCACACATATGTATTCTTTCTTTGAAAACTCTAGTGTTTTTCCTTTTTTCTATTCTTTCATGATCTCGTATTTTAGGGTGATAGAAGTAGATTTTATCCAAGTTTAGCAGTATGTAAATATATGAAATGCTCTTTTCAAACATTGAGATATACAGGAGTTGATAAGCTCAAATTTAATGCAATTTACAGGGAACCCTTAGGGATTGTGTACATTTAATTGGCCATTGGAGTGCTATTAAAAAAGTCCAGTTATTTAAATATGCATAGGGATTTGGGATAGTGCACAGATAACTTTTTGTTGTTGTTTTTGTTTTCTGTATTTGAGTTGATATCTATAGCATTTCCACTACTGTCACCCATGAGTGGGAGTTTGAGCACAGGGTTGAGGTTTGTATATTTGAATTTGTTTTTGTATTACACAGCATGTTACAGGGTTGCCACACACCCCATGTTTGTCTAATTAAGGGTAAAGAAGAATGTAGGTGTTCATAAAAATACCCTTTTCTGTCTCATTAGAACTTTTGCATTTTAACTGAAAGCTGTAAGGTTAATTGTTGGTGTAAGACTCGACTAAGTGGTTTGCCATGACTTGACAGGTTAGCTTGCATTTTGGCATTGAACTCGAAGAGGTACTGAAACCCCAAGTTATTTAAATGTGCATAGGGGTTTGGGACAGTGCCTGATTATGCCCATGCCTATGGAACAGGCCCTTTGATTTAAAAAACTAAAAACTCTTCACATGCTCTTGCTTAAGTGAATGTACGGGAACACAACTGTTGTGGACTGGCTGACAATGAAATTAGTTAAAGGTACACTATAGTCACCTAAATTACTTTAGCTAAATAAAGCGGTTTTAGTGTATAGATCATTCCCCTACAATTTCACTGCTCAATTCACTGTCATTTAGGAGTTAAATCACTTTGTTTCTGTTTATGCAGTCCTAGCCACACCTCCCCTGGCTATGATTGACAGAGCCTGCATGAAAAAAAAAAACTGTTTCAATTTCAAACAGATACAATTATTTAAGGTAAATTACATCTCAATCTCTAAATTGAACTTTAATCACATACAGGAGGCTCTTGCAGGGTCTACCAAGCTATTAACATAGCAGGGGATAAGAAAATCTTAATTAAACAGAACTTGCAATAAAAAAAAGCCTAAATAGGGCTCTCTTTACAGGAAGTGTTTATGGAAGGCTGTGCAAGTCACATGCAGGGAGGTGTGACTAGGGTTCATAAACAAAGGGATTTAACTCCTAAATGGCAGAGGATTGAGCAGTGAGGCTGCAGGGGCATGTTCTATAAACCAAAACTGCTTCATTAAGCTAAAGTTGTTCAGGTGACTATAGTGTCCCTTTAAGGTAAAGCTGACTTTGCGCACTATGTACATGCTCTTGTTGCTTCAGTCTCTCTAACACTGTGGCATGTTCCCTTTCTTCTACACTCACTAGATACACTTTTTCTCTGTCCCAGAATGTATAACAAGAGCTCTTGCCTGCTAGTAAGAAGATTAGGAGAGGAGTGGACCAGCGAGTGCTAGGGGACAGTCCTTAAAAAGCTCGTCATTAGACACATTTATGCCAAGCTTAGGGTGCTGAATAAATAATGGTTTAGCCACTCAGGGATAACAAAAAATCGCAGCTTTATTGTGGCAAAAACAGCAACGTTTTGACCCTACCTGGTCTTTATCAAGCTCATCATTAGACCCATTTATGTCAAGCTCAGGATGCTGTCTGCACAGTATGCCCTTGGTTGGTCATCCTGCATGATTGGCATGCAGACTGACTAATTCTTCATGCAGACACGCCCCCCCTTTTTGGGCATTTTTGTCCCTTTGGGTGGTTCCTGTTACGTGATTCACATCAGTGGCACACCCTTTTACCACTCCCACCGACATCCTGCTTCACTGGACACTGCTCTTAGGAGGTATGGATTTACTTGAAAGATGAAAGAGAGAGAGAATAGCATAGGGTATGAGTTTTCTTGTAGCTATATCCTGTGAGTTTCCCTCCAGCACCACCTGCAACAGCGGCATGACGCTTGGGAGGTATAACTGTTTTAGTCTTTACTGTCGATAAGATTCTGTAATTAGCCCCATCATAATTGTCAGCACCAGGCCCAATGGGCTCTTAAGCCAGCCCTAGTATGGGAGAGTGTGCACATTGCTTTTTTTTCGGTTTGCAATGTCTTCATATTGCCTAATAAGAAAGATATCAAGATTCAACCCTTAGACGGCACCTGGAAAAGGTGTGTCGGCATCTGGAAAACTCTTATTTTCCCACCAATAACATCAAAACTCCAGCAGCATGCACGTGTGTATATAAAATGTCAATTCCATTTACTTTGACGTCAATGAATTAAAGATTATAATAATTAACTTGCTTAATCAGGAACCAGTATGTGCACTTTCTTAAGTGCTGGCACCTGTCCATCAATTAGAATGTCAACAATCTGGTGAAACGAGTACCTGGATGACTTTTGCTAATCAAATGTGTGGTCCTACACCCAAATACTGTAATAACCTCAATTGGCAAACATTAGTTTGACAGAAATCTACAGACTGGGATCCTGCAAGGTTAGATCTTGATTACTCCTCTATAATCTCTCATATGACTTGACCAAAACATATTTAATCTGCTTGATCTTGTGCTGGGTATCGTGCTGCATGTGCTTGTTTGATAATGAATTTGTGTCTGTAGAATACACGTGTTGCTAAACTGAAGCCAAAATAGCTGATGTATTACATATTTTAAATGTATTTTACTCTTACTCTTATTATTGGTTTGACTTTCTTTTGATATATTGTTATATAACAATTTTTGGGCTCTAGCAATTATCAAAGAAAGACTGGAACTCAACTGCAGGTTCAACTCTTTGTTAAGTCACTAAAGTTGATTTTTCTTCAAGATTTTGAAGGATCTTTAACCGAAAACATAAATAAAACTGTATCTTTAAGCTCTCTTCCAAAAATAAACTTTCACTTTAAGAATTTTAGAAAGGTAAAATTTCACTTTAATTATCTTGAAAGGTTGTGCTGAAAACCTGATTACTTTGAGTAGTGAATTAAGTACTTTAAGGATGGAATTTAAACAGTTTAATATGATATGTAGGAAGTTGGAGCAATTTGATCAGAAGTAAAGTCACTTTAAATTCTTTATGCAATTGGAAATTGATTGAAGAGAAATTACAAATACAAACAGTCTTTTTGAACACTTTGAAGAAAGACTTACTAACTTTAGAGTCTGATGATGAGATGAGTGGAAATGCAGTATAGCAGGTTCACTTGAAATGAAATTAGTATGTGCAACAAACTTGTCAATAAAGTCCTTTGGTTTAGGTAGAAATGTTATTCTCAATTCAGTATGAATTATTGCCAAAGTTAACCCAAAAGTTAATGTTGAGGAATTAGAAATAAAGTAGGCAGAAGGGAATATTCACTAAAGTCCACTTTAGTAAGAGAGTGGTTTGTATAATTATTTACCTTAGCAGGTAAATTAAGCAATAGAGGTGGTCTTGTAGTCCAAAGTCAGGAGTGGAGAGGTAGGCAGAATCGAAGTCACAAGCTAAAGTTTGGTACACAGGAATTACAGGTAAGTTTGAGCTCAAACGGCAGTATTGAATCGCTCAAACAATTTGAGTGAGCAATTCAATAGTGCCCCAAGTTGGACTAGTTAGACGGACATCTGACGATGAACGACATCCAGAAGTGCGGTAAGGGGGTTGCCGATTGAGTGTTGACAAACAGATATATTTTAGAGCAAAGGTTTTCGACAAAACAAGATAACGGATTTTAATATTTTAAAAGAACACTCCAAGAATCATAACAAGCTATGGTTATGGTGCAATTGTGAGAAGTCTGACTGCTTCAGAATGGTGTTACTCCCCACCTCTACTACTTCTGAGAAAGTGCAGAAAGATGTCTGTCTGAGCTCATTTTGGCAGTGCAGGGCTCAGCTCATTGGCTGAGGGTGCACACCTGACCCAAATAAAACTCCTATTTTGCAATCCACGTTTGCAGATCTTAATGCTAAATATGAATTGTAGACAGGGTGTGATTTGGCTCTTATCTTATCAGAAAATTATGCTGTGAATTACAGCAGCTGCCTTCCCAACAGGTGACCCACTTTACATCAATCTAGTACAAATACATATATAACATGGTTTCAGGTTTGTACTCTGATCTACCACACTGGTGGCACACACAAACCTCAAAAGTAAGAGTTCTACTTAAGGATAGAGTTGAGCGAACCCAAACTGTAAAGTTCGGGTTCGTACCGAACATTACTTTTTTGGACCCCGGACCCGAACACTGACATGGACATTTCACTGTATGTTCGGGTTGGAGTTCGGTGGTCGGCAATTTAATGGCGCATTTTAAAAGGCTGCAGGGCAGCCAATCAACAAGCATTTGACTCGTGTGCCCTTAGAAGCCATCACAGCCATGCCTACTAATGGCATGGCTGTGATTGGCCAGTGCAGCATGTGAGCGATCTACCAAAAGGCTGAAAGACCTAAATTGGTCTTTCAGCCACATTTACTAATACTAAGTAAGGATTACTTAGTATTAGTAAATTCAGCCCCTACTCGCTATACCGCGAGTAAGGGCATGTCTAGTAAAGAGTGAGCAGCCAGTGGCTGCTCACTGTTAAAAAAACCAAGAAAAACCTATTGGCCTCCACCAATGAACGGCAGGTGGGGGCCCTAAAGTAAAATAGGGAGGGGAACCGATTCTCCTCCGCCCCGGCCCCCACCCCTGAGCAGCAGCTGGGGGCCCTAAATAACAATGAGGGGGGGGGACCTACTGTCCTACCCCCTGGCCCCCACCCCCTGCATGGCAGGTGGGGGCCCTACATAACAATGAGGGGGGGACCTACTGTTCCCCCGGCCCCCACCCCTGCGCGGTGGGTGGGGGCCCTAAATAAGATTGAGAGGGGGACCTACTGTCCTCCCCCCTGGATCCCACTCCTGAGTGGTGGGTGGGGGCCCTAAATAACAATGAGGGGGGAACCTACTGTCCTCCCCCCTGGCCCCACCCCTGTGCGGTAGGTGGGGGCCCTAAATAAGAATGGGGGGGCCTACTGTCCTCCCCCTCAGCCCCCACAACTGCGCGGTGGGTGGGGGCCCAAAATAACAATGAGGGGGGGACCTACTGTCCTCCCCCTGGCCCCCACCCCTGAGTGGTGGGTGGGGGCCCTAAATTTAGAATAAGGGGGGACCTATTGTCCTTCCCCCTGGCCCCCACCCCTGGGCAGTGGGTGGGGGCCCTAAATAAAAATTTAACCCCCCCCCGTCACTCCCTTCCCCCCAAAAAAATAAACTCCTACCTACCCCCCTCATCCTAAAAATAATGGGGGGGGGGACCATAAGCTAGATACCTGTAAAAAAAATAATAATAAACTTACCATTTGATGTCTTCTTTCTTCTAAAATCTTATTTTTTCAGCCCCAAAAAAGGGCAAATAAAAATCTATAATAACCGACGCACTTTTAAAAAAAAATGTTCACCTGGAGGGCTCCGCGCAGAATGAGCTCTGCAGGGCGGGGGAAGGCTTATAAAGCCTTCCCCCGCCCTGCAATTAGGTTCAGAGCACTCTGATTGGTGGGTTTAAGCATCATAACAACACTCTGGTGGATTGAAAGTAACCAATCAGAGAGTTATGAGTCAAATTACACAGCGTGGGAAAATTCCAAAGAACTTTCCCACGCTGTGCAAAATGACACAGAGCACTCTGGCTAGATTTCAAGCTAACCAATCAGAGTGCTCTGTGTCATTTTACACAGTGTGGGAAAATTCCAAGGAACTTTCCCACACTGTGCAAAATGACTCATAGCACTCTGATTGGATGGCTTGAAATCCATCCAATAGTTTTTTTTTGTTTTTGTTTTTTACAGTGAGCAGCTGTTTACTAGACATGCCCCTACTCACGTTATAGTGAGTAGGGGCTGAATTTACTAATACTAAGTAATCTTTACTTAGTATTAGTAAATGTGGCTGAAAGACCAATTTAGGTCTTTCAGCCTTTTGGTAGATAGCTCCATAAATCCGTGGGAATTAGGGAGTTATCTACTAAGCGGCTGCTTATTTTATGTTATTTTAAGTTATTTCCCTATCCACATTTGTTTGCAGGGCACTTGTCCTACTCTTACCCCCATTATACTTCCTTTTGCAGCCCTCTAGCCCTTTCCAGGACTTTTTAAGAGGCATTTTAGTGCCCAAAAGTTCGGGTCCCCATTGACTTAAATGGGATTCGGGGTGAAGTTCAAACTTTTTGATGAAGTTCGTCTGAACTCGGCGAACCCGAACATCCAGATGTCCGCTCAACTCTACTTAAGAACAATCA